ACCATCAGCAATTAAGTAATCTAATAAAACAGTTTTATGCAAGATACCAATTTTCAGTCATTATACAGACTATGCCAATAATCATGGTCATTGCTGCCAAGACTAAGCAACTAGATTACGTCCTGCTTACCACAATTCTACCAAGTTTTATCTTTTCAACAGTTAAAATATTAAGAAATAAACGAAGGGCAGAATCCTTTCAGGCAAGAAGAATGAGCTCATTTGGGACTTCATATCCAGTTGTGCACAAAACTGGATACAATACCTGTCAACCCTGCCTACACATCTGTGGTCATATGTACTTCAAATGCAAAGCATTACTTCTGAGTCATTCAGACTCCAAAGGTCAAATTAAGGATACCTTTAAAGAAACTGCATATCACAGAAAATGCCTGATCCTGTAACCCTATGAGCCTCATTATAATCAGTTTCAAACAAAAGCAGCAGCACTGCACACATCAACAAATGGGAGAGGCTTTAGTTTAGTTCCAAGATAAAGGAAAAGTAATTTATCAAACATAGTTCTTCAAAGTATGACCTTAATATATTAGAATTCACTTAAACAGATTATGGCTGTTTGCTTAGATTTATTTGAACTTTATAGCAATAAATTTTATTGAAGAAAAAAAAAAAAAAAGTTTCATTCGTGAAATGGACATGCATGGATAACCAAGTCTAAACATAGATAACAAAAAAATCTTTAATACATCTTTCAATCAAAACATATGGAAATATGCATTGAATACACATGTACGTAAGATTGTGCCACATTATATCTAATAACAATGTGAGCGATGAGTCAAAACTAAAAATCCACTCCCAGTATTAAGATATTACCTGCAGTGCCTATTAAGGTTAAAAAAAAAAAAAAAATACATTTCATCTATAAGAGCAGATCAAAAATTTAGGTTACACAAGTGGTGTGTACACTGTACCTGGGTGTCATCAAATTGTAAACCCAGTAAATACACATTTAATATTGTGAAGTCTTTATTGGTACATTTCACCCATGAGTGGCTTTTATCAAGTACACAGAACAATGAGCAAACTGCAGCTTTTATAGGGCATCTGGGGCAAGAGGTCAAGTGTAGCTTTTAAAATGAGTTGACAAATGTACCAGTACATTTTTTTTGAAGCCACATCTGGCCACCCATCCTAAATGCCCTATGCAAGCAGTAATTTTTCTCATTGTTCAAAGTACTTGATAAAGTCCACTCATGGGTGAAACGGTTACCAACAAAGACCACCCTGCATTGTGTCTACTTACCACTTGTCAGCATAAGGCTTTTTCAAACAGCGATGGTAAACTTACTCATGTGCCTAGTCCCAGCAAACGTGGCAGGCAACTTCTTTAAACTGCATTTTATCAGTCCAATTCACAAGCCAAGGCTGTGCAATGTTAATCATTATACAATACCCATATCTATCCTGATTACTGATGAGCACACTGTACATGTTGTCCACCCATGTGAGGATGATCATCATCCTCGTCGTAGTATTGACCTCTGTTACCACCCATACTAGGCGTTTCCTCAATATCTGACATATTGACTTCTTCTGCATCTTCTGGCAGTGCTGGTGCTGCAGGACGTCCTCCCAAAATTGCTTCCAGTTCCTGCGCAAGCAAGCATAATTTTATTCTCTTTGCCAATAACAACTAGAAGTTGACAGTAATGAAGGAAAGAAATGCAAAGCAAACTCTTGTTGTGACATTTCATAAAGTCACTGATAAAACTCTACATAATGTGAAGTACTGTCTTAAGAAAGATAAAGGAAACAAAAAAGAAAAAGAAGCATACAAACTTTTTTTTAAACTCAACATACATACGGTAATATTAAATTTATACTTGCCTTTAGTTTACCTTCGGAGGCAAAATAGTTATCTGGGAATTCAACTTCTATACGAACATAAAGATCTCCCTTTTCAAATGGATTTTTGTGAAATGGCATTCCTTCCTTTTCTATACCACGTACACACCCTATAAAGGAAAATCCATAGTTGAGATTTTGAACTTATGTAAAAAAACAAAGTTTTGCTGTAAAATAAATAGTAAACCATACCACGGGCGGGGATAGAACCCGCGATCAGAGAGTCTCAAAACTCCAGACCGTCACGTTAGCCACTGGACCAGCTAGCCACAATAAGATTCGTCCAACTAGGTATATTTCTACACCATAGGAAGGTTAGCATAGGCACCACTGACCACCTTCCTATGGTATAGAAATATACCTAGTTGGACGAAACTTATTGTGGCTAGCTGGTCCAGTGGCTAACTCAACGGTCTGGAGTTTTGAGACTCTCTGATCGCGGGTTCTATCCCCACCCGTGGTATGGTTTGTTTGCAATCGCGCCATTACGATTTCGTGAGTCAAGTTAAATAATAGTACATCAGCGAACATTCCATAATAAGCCCTTCATTTAACAGACTTCAGAAATATTTCCCACCCCATTCTACTGGGGTGATAGATTTGAAACAATGGACGAAGTCTTTTTGGTGGCAGAACTGTCATTACTGTACTCCACAGCAAAATAAACTTTTCTCTATCCACCCATAATGGCCATAATGGCCACCATCTACCCCAATTAGTCTGTTAAATAGAGGGTTTATGTACTTGTTCCTTCCTCCTTCAACCTTTACTCTCAAACAGTATAAAAAAACTATTGTAGATACATGGTTAAGAGACCAACAAGTTGATGAATTAATACACTTTGCGCAACACTTGGGTGGCTTATGGAGGAACATTTTGCCATGCTGTGGTTCATCAGTCCTAAACAAGGAAGAATGACGGTTTGAGGTAATCAGTCCCTGATGAAGCCACTGTGTGGCAAAACGTTCCTCAAAAGATATCGAAGTGTTGTAATGTGTCTAATTTGTCAAAAACTATTATAACCATGCATGCCAACTGCACTATTTTGAAATCCAAACAAGAAAAATGATGATCTATTGTCAGTTTTGTCTATTCTAAAATTTTGTTTATTTCACTTATCACAGGGATTCAGTCAGGAAAAACCAGCAGGACCAGACTAGAGGTCCTGGAACTGGAAGTACCGTGCCTGCAACTCTGAAGGAGGGGTTTTAATGTTGCAGTTTTATAACTCTTGTTTTTGAGGGTGTAAGCAAACAACCTTCAGATGATAGTGATGGTGTGATTGATGAGCAAAAGTGTTTCTTTTTTTCAGGCCACCCTACCTCAGTGTTGAAAAGGCCAGTGTGTTGTTAAAAAAATATTTCATATAATTTTAAGCGACCACAATGATCAGCTTGGAAGAACAAAGCAAATAATTGCTACAGGGACAGATAGACCAATAATAAGGGAGAAAGTAGCAGTACAATATACACGATTTCAAATGCGGATAATACAATTTATGGGGTGAGGCCTCGTTTGTTAATTAACAGTAAAGACCATGATGACCCAAGAGTTGGAGCTTCTCCACCCAGATGGAATACAGTTTTTATGTACTGAAGATAGTGATGAAGACTTGAGTTATATTATATGAAGACACAGTGTGCTGCTGCAGGAGGAAGAGAGTGATTGGGTGGAATGATGAATGTTTTAAAGGGTGTAATAAAAGAAAAATAAAAGGTAGACTTTATGAGAGGTTTTTACCAAATGCAGAAATGTTATAAGAAGAGCTGGTATATTGGAGAGTAAAAGGAAGGTCAATGAGATGTGGGGAGAGGGTGCAAAAGGAGAGCAGATGATAAGAGTGCGGCGAGCACTGTCAAGATAATTTTAATGAAGACAAGAAAAAAAATTTTGGAGTGAGATACACAAGGTTAGAAAGAGAAGGGAACGAATTGTTATTGTCAGACAGTTAAAAACAGTAGAAGGTTAGTAGATGGGGAGCTGGAGATATTTGGCTAGATGGCAGGGGAATATTTGAGGAACTTTTAAACCCTTTCAGGGTCCCCAGGCACTCTCCAGACTTGTTATCAGGGTTGCAATATTTAAAAAAAAATTATATTTCTTACGAAAAGTTAGAGAATCTTTTCCCGTTCATTATGACACCAAGTAGAAATTCGATGGAAAACTTACGGAAATTATGACTCTCGCGAAGTTTAGTTAGCGGCTTCTCGACGATTGTTATGCAATCGGCAATTTTGCTCACTTTGAGCCCTATTTACGGCCCATTCCAGTGTTCTAGTTGACTCAAATAATCATAACATTTCCGCTTTGAACTCCATTTTTTCTATCGAATGGTACAACGAAACCACCCATTTACTGATTTCAACTATTCAATACAGTGGTCAGATTTAGCAATTCTGCCAATTTCACACAAATTTCAAAAGATGCCATAGTTTCCAAATAGGGTCCAGAATAAACAAGATAGAAATTCCTGGCACTAAATAATATTTCCTCTGTTCATTAGTCACTGCCCACGCCCCCTTCTTACATTCTTTTGCTTTCCACATATTGAATTTTATTCTCTCAAAAAAATAAAAAGATTTACTGTTATGCAGATACTGCATTAGTATAGAAATGAATAAATAATATGGTGAAACTGTGAAAGAATATTAGACTCACCAGTTGACGTGCATTGGGTCACTTAGAATGATTTGTTTACTTTTTGAACTTTGGTAAAAAATCGATATTTCTGCTACTTTGAGCTAAATGTCAAAGTACTTTTCATTGTAAACAGTCAAAATCCTCTTCAATTCTGGTAATACATCTTCCATTCTATTAAATAAGACCAGGAAAACTAGAATTTACAACAATAATACCATACGAAAAATACAGTGCAAAGTTGCTGTTGTAATCCAAAAAACACGGTCAAAGTTTTTTTTCTCATACGCACTGTTGTGGCTGCAGGATTTTTTTATATTCTGTGCCCACTGACCACATACGACACAGTCTTTAATATGTAGGCCTACCAGCTTTTCTCACTTGATTTTAGTGCACTACAATTTCGGTGTACTAGTACGTCAAAAACCCTGTGCGTAAGCCGTACTGTACGCTGGAAAACCCTGAAAAGGAGTTAAATGTCGACGAAGAATGGAGGCAGTCTTTTCATGCACTCGCAAGGGAGGTATACATCTTTTAGGATTGTGAACAAGAGCAGGATGTGAGTGTGGGGAAGGTGACACAAAGGCATTAACATAGATGAAAAGGGTGTAAAAGAAGCAGGAACTGACAGGAGCATGACAGAAAATGTTTTAAAGCAAGGGGGGGTATGGTATATAGGTGGAAATAGTGGTTGGTATTTAGGGGTATTGCAGAGGGCATATTTTTATTTATTTATTATCACCACTGGCCAAGATTCCCACCAAGGCCAGGGTGGTCCGAAAGAAAAACTTTCACCATCACTCACTCCATCACTGTCTGCCAGAAGGGTGCTTTTTACTCTACAGTTTTTTAAACTGCAACATTAAACCCTCCTTCAGAGTGCAGGCACTGTACTTCCCATCTCCAGGGATCAAGGCCGGCCTGCGGTTTCCTGAACCCTCATAATGTTTACTTTGCTCACACTCCAACAGCACGTCAAGTATTAAAAACCATTCGTCTCATTCGCGCCTATCAAACACGCTCACGCACGCCTGATGGGAAGTGTCCAAGCCCCTCACACACAAACCCTCCTTTACCCCTCCCTCCAACCTTTCCTAGGCGGACCCCTACCCCGCCTTCCTTCCACAACAGACTGATACACTCTTGAAGTCATTCTGTTTCGCTCCATTCTCTCTACATGTCCGAACCACCTCAACAACCCTTCCTAGCCCTCGGGACAACAGTTTTGGTAATCCCGCATCTCCTCCCTAACTTCCATATACGAATTCTTCTGACATTATTTTCACACCACACATTGCCTCAGACATAACATTACTCCATCTGCTCCAGCCTTCTCCTCGCTGCCAACTTTCATCACCCATGCTTCAACCCAATATAAAGAGCGTTGAGTTTAAACTATACTCTATCATTCCCCTCTTTGCCTCCAAGGGACAAGTTCTTTGTCTCCACAGACTCCTAAGTGCACCACTCACCTTTTCCTCATCAATTCTATGATTCCTCCATCCTTCAAGACCCATCGCTGACACATCCATCCAATATCTGAATACATTCACTTCTCCATAGTCTCTACCTCCAATAGATATCCATTCTTTCATCACCTAATCTTTTTGTTATCTCACCTTACTCTTTCCTGTATTCACTTTTAATTTTCTTCTATTGCCAACCCACCCCCCCCCCCCCCCCCCCAATTCATCCACCAATCTCTGCAACTTCTCTTCAGAATTCTCCAAGAGCCACCCCCCCCCAGTGTCATCAGCAAAGGCCAACTGTGACAACTCCCACTTTGTGTGTGATTCTTTATCTTTTAACTCCACGCCTCTTGTCAAGACCCTAGCATTTACTTCCTCTTACAACCCATCTATAAATATATTAACACCACGGCGATACATCACACATTCCTTGTCTAAGGCCTACTTTTACTGGAAAATAATTTACCTATTTCCTATGTACTCTAACTTGAGCCTCACTATCCTCGTAAAAACTCTTCGTGCTTCAGTAACTACCTCCTACACCATACAACCTACACATCTGCCACACTGCCCCCTATCACCGGTCATATGCCTTTTTCCAAATCCATAAACTGCCTCACAGCTCCCCCTTTAGCCTTTCTAAAATTACTGTTCAATTATATGTTTCACTGTAAACACCTGGTCCACCACCCCCTACCTCTTCCTAATGCCTCCTTGTTATATGATATCCTATTCTCAGTCTTACTTTCATTCTTTCAATAATAACTCTACCATACAACTTTAACAGGTATACTTCAAACAGATTATCCCCCTATAATTTTTGCACTCTCTTTTTCCCCTTTGACCTTTATACAAAGGAAAACTATGCATTGCTCTCTGCAATCCCTAGGTACCTTACCCTCTTCCATACATTTATAAATAATTGCACAAACCACTCCAAAACTTATCCCACCTGCTTTTAACATTTCTATCTTTATCCCATCAATCCCGGCCTGCCTTACCCCCTTTCATTTTACCTACTGCCT